CCAGGAATTCTTTTCCAGTATCCCATCTAACCCTGCCCTCTGGCAGTGGGAAGCCATTCCCTGTGTCCTGTCCCTCCAGGCCCTGCTAAAACATGATCTCACACAGGGAATATTTCCAATTTCTGAGGCAGCCCTGCCCCTTGCAATTCCCAGTGACTGCTGGGGTGGGAAGGACTCTGCTCCAGAGGGGCTGGAGCAGCCTGGGGGGACACAGGGACTGGCCTGGGATGAGCTGCTGAGGAAAAGCAGAGCTGAGATAACACTGGGCTCCCTTAAATGTGTCAGTCCCACGTGTTTTCCTGAAGTGCATCCCACGGGACAAATGGATTAGACATGAATGCCACAAAATAAACCCATTTACACTCCTTTATCTGGGCTGAATTGCAGGAACAGCAAATACTGGTCTCGCCTAAAAAATCTAGGCAAGGCTTCCTGCCCTGAGCAGGGATTTGGGGCACGGAAGAATTTTCACAGATGTTTCACCCAGGAAATTCTCACAGACATTGGTTGCCAGTCCTGAACTGCTCCTTCCTGAGCCTTTCCCCCCACCCTGGGACCACCTCTCAAGGGTTTTGCTTCACAGAATCCACCACTAAACTGTAGCACCACATTCAAGCCATGATTCCTCTCTAAAAAATCACATTTCTGCTCAGAAGTGGATGCTTCTAAGCACAAATACTCACACAGGAGCTACTTTCAACCTACATTTCAGTAAGAAAATCCAATTATAACGGTCTAGCAATTTGGAGACAAGCACTTGCAACCTTAGTCAGCCAGAAAAGATTGAAGATGGATTTCTTCCCTTGCTGCAGAAAATACTTGGAAATAGAATTAAGCATTTCTCTGTTGAATTAACCTGGTTTAAGGTTTAATCAATAGCCTCTTCAAATCAGAGCTGGCACTGATTAAAATCTTCAAGCTGGTCATTCCCAACAGGATTCAGGTAGCCAAGGGACATTCTTTGGGAGTCAATTCTGGACATAATGGGAGGCAAAATAAACTGTTTGTGTGACATCACACTCAGGAGATGGCATTAAAATACCAACCCTGGAGCCGCATTGCTCCCAGAGAGCTCCTGGGAGGGGGATTTTGGGGGGTCCTCAGGGGGGAACTCCTTCCCACACAAACCAGAGCAAACTCTCACTGACTCTGGAGCCAGGCTGGGAGAGCTGGGGGGGTCACCTGGAGGAGAGAAGGATCCAGGGAGAGCTGAGAGCCCCTTCCAGGGCCTAAAGGGGCTCCAGGAGAGCTGGAGAGGGACTGGGGACAGGGGATGGAGGGACAGGACA